CTATCTATCTATCTATCTATCTATCTATCTATCTTGGATAAAGATCGATGTGCACGTGTTCGCATACGGATACATATTGCAGAAATCTACGGATATTTTCACAATACACACACACCATGGACTATGAATAATGTGTTCATTGAAAACAAACATTAGAAATAAGTTAGCCAAGAGCATTTGCGCTAATCCCGTTGCCACTATTTCAGATCTGCATATAAAAGACAAAGCTAAGTCAATAAGTACGAAACCTGATAAGATCGCTGAATATTTCTCATAAGAATTTCACTGATAATGTTCGATTTGGGAATTGCACAGTAGAGTTGCAATATGAACAGTGAATGTTGAAGAATCACATTTGCGCCTGATCAGGCGTCTGCAATAGGGACATCATATCCAAACTAACGTACTCATACAATATATATTGTGTGTATATATGTGTGTTTAAATAGAAACAGTGAGAAATAATTAAGATTTTAAATCTATTGCTTGCATAGTGTTAAAACTGTTTTTTTATATCTATCTATCTATCTATCTATCTATCTATCTATCTATCTATCTATCTATCTATCTATCTATCTCAATCTGTTCATGATCTATCTATCTATCTATCTATCTATCTATCTATCTATCTATCTATCTATCTCAATCTGTTTATGATCTATCTATCTATCTATCTATCTATCTATCTATCTATCTATCTATCTATCTATCTCAATCTGTTCATGATCTATCTATCTATCTATCTATCTATCTATCTATCTATCTATCTATCTATCTATCTATCTCAATCTGTTCATGATCTATCTATCTATCTATCTATCTATCTATCTATCTATCAATCTGTTCATGATCTATCTATCTATCTATCTATCTATCTATCTATCTATCTATCTATCTATCTATCTATCTATCTATCTTCCACCAATGCAGATCTTTATAGATAAAATCCACCGTGCCCCGAACAAGTGTTCGAAGAATCCTCATTCCGTCCGATTTTCCATTGCTAAGAAACTTTGCACAGCTTCTTCCCAACAAACGTTACTTTATGAAACAGACTCCCGTGATGACGCTTCCTCGATCTTATGTTAACCTCTACAAGTCTCAGATCAACCGTTATTTACTTTCAGCCACATTCCGTATCTATCTATCTATCTATCTATCTATCTATCTATCTATCTATCTATCTATCTTGTGTAGTTCAAGCAAAAATATCTTTCCTTGAAAATAAGAAGAGTATCTTTAGTTTGTATTATTTTTTCCTGCCTACAAAGAAGAATAATTATATTAGTGCTTTCGTATATCTTATTTGTCTCTGAAAACATTGAGAAAATGAAAGAGATCAATGTCTTTTCAAAATATAAACAGTCATAAATGGGCATCTAAAAGAAATAAAATCAGTAACTTGAAACTAATATATATATATATATATATATATATATATATATATATATATATATATATATTTCAATATAATTATATGTTTAGTTATATAGATAAGAAAGTAAACACAGGCATAGAAAAATTAAAAGTGCCTCTGTAGGATTAAAAAAAAATTCGAATTGTATGTTGCATTAAATAATGACGAAGAAATATTAATGATCAGTGCATTTATTTAAGCAAAAAGCATAAAAGAAGAACAATTTTAATTGTAAAAGCAAACAGGATCTATATTATTGTACACGTAAGCAATGGCGTCTGCAGTTTTCACTACACCTTACATACACACATGCGCATAAATGCTCTATAGGAAATCATCGAAATTTTCCCTGCATGCTGTCCAATCCGTGTCATCATATAGGTGTATACACATAGGGTTAAATGCATTAATAAGGGATGAGATTATGTTTAAAATAAATATTTCTTGTATAAAATAAGTGTAAAATAATTATCCTTTTATCATTAGGCTTCGGATTTATTGATATACCTTTGTACATTCATAGATATATATATGTGTGTGTGTGTGTGCATGTGTGTGTGCGTGTGTGTATATGTATGCATGTATATATTGGGTTGGTCAAAAAGTTTATTAAGTAAATTTTTACTTAATAAACGAACGAACATTTTGCCCAACCTAATACATTCATCTCTCTCTCTCTCTCTCTCTCTCTCTCTCTCTCTCTCTCACACACACACACACAGACACACACACATACACAGACACGCGCACACACACACATACACACACACACACATATATATATAATGTGTGTGTGTGCTCGAACTCGATATTTTCAAAACGAGGTTCAGAAATTAATTTGGAAAATAATAGAAGAAGAAAAAAAAGAATGAAAAACATTCTACTTTTTGAAAACAGAAATACATTTACCATGTTCGACCATCTTTTTAATTTACTTGTATTTTTATTAAGTGTGTATTTATTTCGGAATAGCTCGAGGTAATTCAAAAACGAATGATTAATGTTCCGTCCCAATACGGTATATTGATTCTTTGTTTGTATGGAAGAGTCATTACCAATTTTTGCTTTTTGTTCACCAAATAACAAGACCTCATTTACTGCATATCTATAATAATTTATAAATAGCATTTTCTGTCTTCGTACCTGAAAGTTCAAAAGTGGCAGATTGTTGTTTTTTCGTCCAATTTCATTGAAAGTCATGATAGAGATTTTTGTAGTTAATTTACAAAGAGACTAAGTCTTCCCCTGTAAAGCGAATGAAAATCAAAGCTAACATTGGTTTTTCTTTATCAGGACAAAATTTAAATCAAATCACTGAATTTAAATAATCTGCGTAGGTAGGGTACAGAATTTTATTAAGGTTTTATAAGCAGATATAATATATATATATATATATATATATATATATATATATATATATATATAATGTATATATATATAAATATATATATATATATGCGTGTCTGTGTGGAGTGTGTGTGTTTGTGTTACACTAACAAACATCAAACAACATTAAATTCTTACATTGACCACACATTCACCACATTTTCTCGTAGATTAACTTGTCATTTAACAAAATATTGTGCAATTCGGCCACATATTGATAAACATATGACAAATAAACAAAATAATATTAACATTAGATAAATCTTAATGATAACACCAAAATTTTATGAAGGACAGACTGCAAAGAAAGACTCCAAATTCTGAGGCTGTTTTAATAAAAGAGAAGCAGCCAGCATTAAATAAGGCGTATTTGTCCATAGGGAACCGTATACTGAAGCGTGTTTAATATAAAACACACACACACACACACACAAAGACACAGACACAAACACATACACAGACATATCCATACATACAAAATTTTAGTTTGACTGTTTATATGACGTCATATATGACGTCAGCATATAATGTTGAAATTAGTTCAATTGGTACCAGCGTGAAAGCACCAGAATTAAAAAAAAAAGACAGTTACATAACTACACACAGAACAATCCTCGAAAACGAATGTAGCAACATTCGAAAGTACTCGAGAAAAATAATATAAAATAATAGTTAATACAAATTTTTGAAAATTTACCGATAACACAAAAGAACTTGAAATTTGAAAGATTTAATAAAAAATATTGAACAGAACTTGCCATATTATTTAACAAAACATACTTGAGAGTATTCTTGCAGTTGAAACATACGTTATATATATATATATATATTTGTTTTGTCCTATATTTCGGACTCATCAGCAGTGCGCATCCACTACCGAGAATCGAACCAGGACCGTTACGATAGGACGCAAGTGTCGTACCAACCATACCAGAGGGCTTCGGCGATCGACAGAATATTAATTAGACTTGATATAGCGCCGCTCTTCACAACTTCCGTGGTGTAACTCGTCCGTTTCTCTAGACCAACGGACTGTGCCCCCACAAGCCACGTCTTCTTTCCCCAAGTCGCTCCATCCAGAACATTAAAAGCCGGTTCAAGCAAGAATATACAAGTAATAGAAATTATTGGGAGGATTTGAAATAATCATAATTAAGTAATTCATCGACTCTGAGACGGGAAGGCAAGGCTAAAAAGAAATACAAGAATAAATAAATAGCTTTGGAATAATTGTTGATTGCATTGATTAATGAATTAAAAATATAAATGATATCCCGGTTTTGTATCTTTTTCTTATAGAAGAAAAGACCAAAATAAAATTTGGTCTTATTTTTCTGATGGATTTGTTTAAACTTTGGTATTACATCTTAGATTAACTACTGAATCTTCTTCTATCTCCTTTCAGAACATGTCTCTCCACAGCTTCCATTTCTTTGTTATCTGTAAATTAGCCTGATTTTGTGGGAAAAAAACAGTGCAAGCAAACAATAACACACTTACTGTTCATGCAAAGAGTCTAAAAAAAGAAGACAAAAGCGAAAACGATAACAAGAAAAATCTCATCATGGCGAATGCTTTGCCCGTGATAAACAAGCTGATGTAGACAAACCCCGTACAAATTAATGGTTATGTAGGGCAAGATTAAACGCTGAAACCGATGTTTTTATTTTTTCTACACTGAACCAAGGCGTACTAACTAGAGATTATCAAGTAAACTTAGTGAAAACTTCTGTTAAACCGAAATACAAATTCTGTGATGAATATCTAGAAACAATTGACTCTCTGGTTCCACGGTATTAGCATCCATTAAATGTAAAAACGGCATGGCAGGGTGGGCCGATAACTACACGATATTTTGGGGACTTACATTTTTGGAGCCATGAAGCTTGAACAGATATGATGGCCCCTTCGCAACCAGCAACAATAAATTAAAAAAAACAACTGCCAAAATATAGGCTAGATTCTGGCGAACACAACGAGCACATACCACTGTTTTTTTTCTTTTTAGATAATAATGATTTCAGTGATACAAGTCTTACTAATTAACCTGTAGCTGGGGGGAGAATCAGTGTAGTCATACCTATTTCTAAGGGTATTTGCTCGTAAGTGAATATAACGAAACCCAACTGCAATTGGAAATCGGCTCTCCCATTTAATATTCCGAGCCTTTATCCATTACACCACCTGCACATCCAAGCTTACAGCACCTGGTATTGCCAAAGTGGTCTCCTATCTAGGTACTGATCAGGCTGAGATGTTGCTTAACTTCGGTGATCGTATGGGGACCGGTGTTTCGCCGTGATTTTGGCGTAAACCTGAAGATTGCAGGTGTCAGGGCAGCAAGGAATCTGAAGGGATTTCCTTCTGCAAAACTCTAATTGCGAAAAAAGAACTTAGAATGCAAGTTTCAGCCTTACACTTTGTAGGATCATCTGTTTGTAAAAAGAGATGACATTTCCATAGTCTCTTAGCTATAGCCTCGCCTGTTACTAGCGTCAGTAACACAAAGGAAGATGTTAATCTATTGACAGATAATCGCCTGTAAACAAGATGGTTTCTCAATGCTCTCGTGGTTGAGCTGGGTAGGCTGATATCTTTCAAGAAGAAAGAAAAAAAATTAACGATGTCTTATGATTGATTAAAAGTTCAAAGGAGTTTCTATCTTTAGTAGAGAATTTTTCTTATTGTTTTGTCTTTGGAGAATTGGGTACGTCAAAATATAATAACGAACCAAATATTTAATTACGGACTGGCGCTCGGAAACTGTTTTTTAATGTTTTGTTCACTTGAGCTGGAACAAGTTTCAGATCACTAACATTTTGAGGTTCACATTTGCTGTTATATATGCCAGGAATGTATATATATATATATATATATATATATATATTCCTTTTTACTAAGTATTTGTGAAGTATTGAGTGAGCATCGAACTTACTATAGCTGTAACGCTCTGCTAGTCAATTTTGTTGCCATAACGCTAAGACAATACGCTTAGGTTTTTAGAGATAACACTGAAATAGGCGCTGTGTATGCACGCACAACATCCCCCCACACATGCCACATATGTATGTATGCATGTGTGTGTGTGTTAGTCTGAGGATCGCATTGAAATAGGAAACTGACAACAACTATGCTGTGTTCAAATTCTCTCTATCTATCTATCTATCTATCTATCTATCTATCTATCTATCTATCTATCTATCTATCTATCTATGCTTGTTCATATCTATCTATCTATCTATCTATCTATCTATCTATCTATCTATGCTTGTTCATATCTATCTATCTATCTATCTATCTATCTATCTATCTATCTATCTATCTATCTAGGAATGGTTGCGTATTCCTATCTTTGTTCGTTGGTGAAGATCGGGCGAAGCGTTTTTCTGAGTCAATAAAAACGGCGAAAAAGGCCAATAAAATCTAATGTATTAAAAATGTTTAATCTAATTTAAACGTAACTAATTTAATTAGTCCTTGTAATTGTATGCGAAGAAATATTTGACAAATTCTCGGCCTGATCCACTTCCCCAAATCTGGCCAAATGACCGTAAACATATTGATCAAAACAGAATCCTTTTCTCACTAAATATTTTCTAAGTGAAGTTATCCAAAGGTTTTTTGCCCACTTCTGAAACTCTGATCAAATGAGTAATTTTTTCTCAAACTTTTTTATTTTTTGATCAGGCGGAGAAATTTGCAACGCCATTTTGTTTAAGTTTTCTTATAAAAAAAATGTAATAAGAAAATGTTTTGTTAAAAAAGTCATACAGTGTAACCCGGATATGTCGGGACCGGAGAAGTCTCTTATATCCGGGTTTCTCTTATATCCGGGTTTAGTCTATTTTATATACATTAACACGGGCTCTAATTTCGGACCGGAGAAAATCTCTCTTATATCCGGGTTTCTCTTATATCCGGGTCTCTTATATCCGGGTTACACTGTATTAAGAAATGCAAATATGTGCCTATAGATAAGTCGCGTTTATATAGTTCTTTTTCTTCTATGTCCCTTCAGGACTTTTGAGATATGGCCCTCCACAATTTCCTGTCTTTTGTAGCTCTTAGTAAATTTTGTCTTTTTGTTATCTCTCATAAAAATTCTGTTCTTCTATCCACATATTAAAACTCGCTAGGTAGGTTATACGTTTTTCCCTCTTGCCTTCAGTCTGTTCTGTAAGTATCAAATTTTCCAAACCGTCTTTCCTCATTATGTGCCTTAGAAATTTCAACTGTCTCTTTCTGATTCTATTTCCATTTTCTCTGAAACTTTGTCCTTCTCACATTTTCAATCCCTGGTATTCTCTGTAGAATCACGTCTCTGTTGCTTCAAGTCTTTTCTTCATCCTTGAGGAGACTGCCTAACATTCACTGCCATATAAGAGGGCAGATATTATGTAACAGTTCAGTACACTATTCTTTGTTTCGAACGAAATTTTCTTGTTTCTTAATACTTGACTTAGTTTTTGTAAATCATCTTTCGCAATCCCAATGCACATTTGAATTTCAGTGTCGCACTTTCCGTCCTCTGCTAAAACTTTCCCAGATATTTAAATTGTTATACTCGTTTGAATTTGGTATCCTCAATTTGTAATTTGCATGTTGGACTTTTCCATTTGCTAACGACCATGCATCCTGTCCTTTTGCAAATTGAACTTTAGTCCTTTCTCCTCATTTTTCTTAATTACCTTCGGTAGGATTTCTTATAGTTTCCTTTATATGTCTGCTAACAAGAATGTGTCATCTGCATATCTTATATTGTTAAGATTATTACCGCTAATAATGGATCCTAGTAGTATTTTGGCGCTTAAATGTGCGCACGCACGCACGCACGAGTGTGTATACAGGTATTTTTCCAACACACACACACACACACACACACACACACACACACACACACACACACACACACACAACAACAACAACAACAACAACCTGCATATATACGAGGCGATGCTGAAATGTCCTCGGATGATGAAGAAGCTCTTAAAAATGATCTGGCCAAATTTGGAAAAGGAACAGAGAACATTTTACAACCCCTTCGTATCCACATGTATGCGTGTACACACATATATAAATGTGCACACGTGAACTGATACACGCATATATATACCGGATGTTACAGCAAAATTATCCAAAGCGTGTGACAGCATGGGATAATTGTCCATCACACAAAATGTTTAATATCTAACCCCCCCCCCCAAAAAAAAAAATCACTAAACTAATTGAATTTTTTTCCAGGTCTTCAGATGAGACTTTTAGCCATCTTGATTTTTCGTAAGAATTACTGAAAACCCCTTTGAGTTATTTAGCTGTAAAGAGAACGGGTTAAAATCATTTTGTGTCATCCCCAATCTATCTTCCCAAATGAGCAATGGCGAGAGGAAAAAAATCATTCAGGCCTTCAGTATCAACATTCACAGTCTGGCTTACATTTTCAAATTCCATTAAGGAATCATCAAGAAAACGGCTAATAAGTTTAAAAAAGAGGGAACGGTAGATAGGAAAACTGTATCAGGATGTCACAATAGAAAGAGGTATCATCATTTAAACTTAGAGTCAAATACATTCTCATTGTCCAAAATAGAGTCCAATAGTATTATAAAAACCTCGGAGAATTCCAAGTAAGATATCTTTAATCCTTCCTAAAAATACAAAGGCTGAAAACTTAATCTAAGAATTGGACAATTTTGGTGTTACACCTATATATATATATATATATATATATATATATATATATATATATATATATATATATATATATATATATAAATATATAAGCAAATATATGGATATAAATCCGACAGTATGAAGAAAAATACAGAAAAAACAAACAAAAATTTTTAACATGCAATTATGCTGTATTAATGTTAATATAAAGTCGACGTCGGACGTTTCGGTCTATTTAAGACCATCTTCATGGACATTTTCATTTAAACATAATTAACATTAGAACATATAAAAAATTAACACACAAGACGGTGGACATAAGAGCACAACTAATCCAAACAGATAACTGAAATTTTTATATAAGATTTTTATATTAATCTCTACGTATTCCTATATTCAATGGAAGGGATTTCTTGAACTGTTTATATAAAATAGTTCAATCGACTTTTTTAATATTTTAATATTTGGAAATCATCTTCGAATACGTTTTCACAACATCGCCCACGTGACGACAACGTGATCATATTTAAACGGTACGCTGATCTTATATAAAAATTTCAGTTATCTGTTTGGATTAGTTGTGCTTCTAAATTGTGATAATAGAAGATCTGCCAAAAATAGTGCAACGTAGCAAATTTACTCTGGTTGAACAAAGCCATTTCGAAACATATACGTCTTATTGAATTATTTTTCTTTATAATTAGAATAGCATTATTTATGACAAAATATGAGGTCAGTCATGTTACATTTAACAACTAACGCATTTTGTGTAGTGTCATTTAAATTGTCTCTTTTTGTGTTCATATAATCTTTTGTCTAAACTTTTTGCTGGTGATACAGTAAATTGCTCCTTCAAGTTTTGGCTTGTTGTTTTGCATTGATTAAGTCTTTTAATTTTTTCAGATGTAGTTGTGACAAATTTTATGCTGAGTATATATATATATATATATATATATATATATATATATATATATATATATATATATATATATGATTATTTATTTAAAAATATGATTCCAACGCTACATAAGAGTTCTCATGTTTCAAAACAAGAGCTGAAAAACTTCAATATAATTATTTGAATTAAATTGAATTAAAGTACCAAGCTCTGTTCCATTCTTATGTAGCGTTGGAACCATATTTTTAAATAAATAATTATATTTATGCTCTACTTTTGTATCGAGAACTGTTTTTTTTTTAAAATAATAACAAAAATACTAAAGAACTTTCGATTATTTACCTAACGAGTTCTTTCCTATTTTCTATACATTTTTACACGTACGCACGCACACACGCACGCACACACACACATATATATATTTTCTGAGGCAATATCCCAGTCCGGGTTCGGTAAGGCAACACGGACGTGCGGCTTCATTGGGAAGTACCTGAAAATTTCTAAGCCTGACGCCCCGGGGTTTCCGCCATTCATTCAGACAAGCTCGTCAGGTAGGTGGCACGCTGCCTTCCCCTATCTCTCTTGACCTCAATAAGCAATAAGATCTGTGTGTTTTTTTCTAGGCCTTTCATCCTCGTTATATGTTCAAGAGATTTCAGTTGTCTCTTTCTGATTCTGAGTACAAGTGTTCTTTTTGTAGTCATTTTCTTTAAGACTTCTTCATTGCTTACTCGCTCTCTCCATGGAATTCTCAGTATCCTTCTGTAGATCCAAATATTTGTTGCCTCCAATTTGCACTTCATTTGTGGGGCAGTTGCTCAGAATTTAGTGCCCTATAAGAGGATGGACATTAAATAGCAATCCAGTACTGTTTACTTTGTTTCTAAAGGGATTTTCCTGTTTCTCGTACTTTGCTTAGCTTTTGGAAGGCACTTTCGGTAATCCAATGCTTGTTCGAATTTCGGTGTCGCATTTTCCATTGCCAATAAACAAAGCATATTTACATTTCCTTTTTTTTCAGTTCCTTTTTTTCAGTTTTATCTAGTTATTGTATAGAACAACAGAACAGGGCAAAGTAGCAAATTTTTCCTAGCAAAATCGAATACACACGGGAAATTAAATTATGTGTGGATGCCCTGAAAATAAATATTTACTCGTATTTTATATTCCCGAGAAATGAACGGAAAGAACGCAAAATCAGGTTTTGAAACTTTGCGTATACATATTATCCTAATATTATTGGGTTGGTGCATAATTATCAGGCGTTTTTGTAGGCGAGTTATTTGTTAATAAAAATTGATGTTTTGTTTACTTTTTTTAATAAAAATATTATTTTATTTTCAGGTTATAAAATGCGTGTAGATAAGCATAGACATTTAAAAATGTTATTGTTGAATTGTTATGTTTCTTTTTTCATAATGAATATTGTTGAAAAACGCCTGATAATTATGCACCAACCCAATATTTACGAGTTTTGTGAATTGTGATAGCTTACTGTATTTTCTGCTTTTTTTTTAATTGTGGATTCTTCTGATTGGGTCTCAGTGTGCAAATAAACTTCATGGATTTGTCTTTCAATTCCTGCTTTTCCTGCTTTGAGATCATTTCTTCAAAATTACTTTTAAACAGGAGGATGATAATCAATCCAAATCAATGTTGGTCGAAGGTCAATCAGGTCACCCTTGGTTGCTTATACGTCATTTAAAGAAAGATGCAGTTGAGTACAGAGTTTCTTTCTAAGCCTTCTAACCTACAGGAAGAAAAGCCTAATGGATTAAGGCGTTGGATCGCGACTTTGATGAATTGTGAGCTGAATCCCTGGACCGAGCGGCATATACATGGACTCACAGTGAAAAACGAGGGTGAGCAATAACTGGGCAGTGCTAAATAAGGACTGGACGAAATATCGTTAGACATGCGCAGTGGAACAAGAACAATATATACCCGTAGATTAAATAAAGGGTTCAGTTAGAAATTCCCTGTAGCTTACCCGGATCGATATACACCTGACGAAGTCTGGAAGACAAAAATGCCGAAACGTTGCGACAAAAATAACAAAAATCCGGACAATAGTCCGAATATAAATAAGGAAAATAATATTAGCTTCAATATTATTTGCTATAACTTGAGCCTCGATTTTTAACGAATGGCATTAGCAATTTCCACTTTTAGAAATTTTCTAAATTGGTTTAGGATTTTCCTCTTGTTTCATTCGACGATTTATGAATTAAAAAAATAATTTCAAAGCAATAAAGCCACTAAGACGCAAAGGGGTTATTGAGTGAGAGAGAATATGAGAAAGAGAAAATATTATTAAGAAAGTACAATAAAAGAAAGAGATTTAAGAAAACAAAAAAATAAGGATTGAGATTGCATTTAACTTTTGATGATCACAGTTAATTTGAAAGCAAGAGTCCAAAAGAGAATTGCACTAATGAAAAGCATGAGATAAGAAACTGTTAGCATAGAACTTACGGTTACATCTCTCCTTTTCAACTATAAAATAAAGAGACGTATAAGTTTATAATGGATAATTCATGCTGCTTTTAATAAGGATATATCTAAAAGAAAAGAAGTGAGCACGCGACAGCTTAGAATATATCATAAAACCTATCATATTAAGTCAATCTTTGCATATTCCAGACCATATCAAAGGAGACGCGCCTATATCATAAATATTGCTTTCGATGGAGGCTCATTTGTAGTAGGCTTTCAGATATGTGTCAGATAAGGATATTTATGGAAAAGAACGTATAATTAGAAAGATAATTCAGTTTATTTTTCTCTTTTAATTGCCTTCAGTGGAAGATGAAAAACTGCAATAAGTCACGGTTTTCAAACAACTTAGAAGCATTTCGCATTAACGAGAGATTCAGAGATAGATAGACAAATAGATAGAGAGGTCGAGAGATAGAGAGAAAGAGAAATAAAGGGAAAGAGATATTGACAGACAGAGAAATCTGGAAGGAAAGAAAATGAAAAGTAAAAATAAATAGGAACTGAAAGAAAGAAAATAGGGGAGGGAAGTAATTGAGAATGGAAATGAGAGGGGAATTGAGAGAGAGAGAGAGAGAGAGAGAGAGAGAAAAAAATAAGGGAGTGAAGTAATTGAGAAAGGATAAAAAGATACGAACCGAAAGGAAGAAAGGGGGGAGAGGGGGGTACAAAACCGAGAAAAGAAGAATAAGGATGAAAGAAATAGGGTAGGGGGGTAACTGGTAAAGAAAAACAGATAAGAACCGAAAGGAAGAGAAAAAAAAGAGAGGGAGAGAGAGAGATAGATAGATAGATAGAGAGAGAGAGAGAGAGAGAGAGAGAGAGAAAAGAGAGCGAGAGGTGGAGAAGCCGAGAAAAAAAAAAGAAATAAAAATAATTAGTGAAAAAAGAGTGTGAAAAAAATAGAGTCGGGAGATAATTGATAACGGAAAAGAGATAAGAACGGAAAGGAAGAAAGAAAAAGAGAGGGAGAGAGAAGGAGAGAGACAGACAGAGAGAGTGAACTAGAGAGAAATAAGGAATGGAAGAAACCGAGAAAAGAAAAATAAATAAGAAAAGAAAGAAAGAGAGAGAGAGAGAGAGAGAGAGAGAGAGAAATAGGGAAAGAAAGGAATTGAGAAAGAAAAACTGAAAAGAAGAGGGAAAGAGAAAGAAAGAGGGAAGAGAATGAACTGAGAAAAACAAGAAAAAATTGAAAAAGAGAGAAAAAGTGAAAATTAAGTGAGGAATTTAGAACGAAGAAAAAAGAGACAGAATCTGAAAGAAAGAAAGAAAGAAAGAAAGAAAGAAAGAAAGAAAGAAAGAGAATTTGGGAAGAAATTAAGAAAGAACAATGGGATAGGAACTGGAAAAAAGAAAAAAAGAAATAGAAAACATAAATTGAGAAAGAAGTGGTAGAAATTGAAAGAAAGAAAGAAAGAAACAAAGAAAGAAAGAAAAAAAGAGAGAGAAACAAATTGTAACTGAGAATAAAAAGTGACAGAAATGAAAGAGAGTGAGAAATGAGAAGAAAAACGAGAGAGGAACCGAAAAGAGAGAAATGGAGAAAGGAATGAAATCACAAAAAAAAAAACGAAATAGGGAAGGAAAGAAAGAGTGTAAGAGATAGGGAACGGAAGGAAGTGAGAAAAAAAAAGAGTTATGAACTGTAATCGAGAAAGATAGATAGAGATAGATAGATAGATAGATAGATAGATAGATAGATAGATAGATAAGGTGCAAAAAGATAAGGAGAATAGTAGAAAGATATCCTATTTAGTATCGTATTCTCATTATGTTGCTATTATCGCATTGATAAACACCTGGAGGAAACCTTACTCGTATGGGTTTTTAGTGATAAATAGAAAAGAATTCGTCATAGAATCTGCTGAAGTATCAATTTATCTTATTGCCAGCTGAAAAATAAAACCACGAAAGTTTTATTTTCGTATCTCTGGTGTTGTTTCTCTCCACATTTCCACCATATCATATATTTTATATATTAATGCAAACTCATATTCCAAGTCAATGTCTGTTGGAATTAGATTCTCTTTATGAATATTGCTAGTTTTAATGTCTGCATTCCTTCTTTTCTATACAACTAAAATGCTTTTCGAGCGAGCTATCTACCAAGACACTTATGGAATCAGAGTTGACTGCTGAATTAGTGTATCTCATTTTCTTGACAACGGTGAAAATGGCTGATACATGACGAATAATGAACACAGGCAGAAATTTGATGCCACTCACTCACTTAGAACCCCATGGAAGCCATTCTAGCCTGCAGAAGAATCACATTTTCTTACCTGAACATACGTGGTTTGTATTATAGGTATGGAGTAATAGATGTGACTGTTAGTAAATTGGATATCTGTCAAACAGTCTGTGAACGATTCTGCATTCAAAAACCTAGAGAAATGCTAAAAGACATCAGAATAGAGAGGAATCCACTGATCAACTTATGCCTGCTTCGATACAATCTGGCATTTCTCAGTAGTTAAGGTATTGGGCAGTTACTTAACGACCATGTACCGTTCCAACGACATGGTCACTAAATGAACTGGTCGTTAAGTGCGAAATTATACCTGACCGCTATTTCAGACATGCTATGTGTTTGTGCTAAACCAGCTTCAGATAGCTTTAATGTCAGTTTGGCGCCATTTGTAACATTTCTAATTTATTACTAAATGTTTATATAGTTGTGTAGTGGACAGTAAATATCATAAGCAAAGTGAGTTGCTTTCTAAGTGAGAAGTAGTACATGGCCATTTCAGGCATACTCAATCAGTTATATGCCATGCGTTAGGCGATCATGTATCTTTTGATACATGACTGACGAGGCAGATATTTCCCGCAGTAGGTCGCCATTTCTTTTTGCGGTAAACCAGTTGTCATCCAAGGCTACTGAACCCGGGAATTGTATGAATCCTATTCTTCTCCAAAAATAGGATTCATACCTTTCACAAGGGTATTAGCACGTAATGGATTTGACTGGAATTCAAACCCTGCTCTCCGATTCCTCAATCCGAGCCACTATCCATTACGCCACCGTGCCTCCCAAGTATACTGCATGTGCAAGAGGTTTGTGTCAACCAGCTTCAGATGGCTTTAATGTAACTGTTTCACCATTTGAAACATTTCTAATTTATTTATAAACATTTCTACAATATAGTAGACAGCTGAAAGGCCACGATAATGTTTTTTTACAGTACAGTGGGCGTCTGAACAGTAAACGTAATAAATGAATTTAAAAATCAGTTCCATATTCCGTACATTAATACAATTTGTATATTGTGAATACAGAATAAGTATTTTTGATTTATTTTTCACTTTATTTATTTATTTAATTTTATTTTTATTCATTTTGAAGAAAAAAGAAGAAAAACAACTATAATCGAAGATTTCGTAAGATTGAACTGATTTGATTTCTTACGGTGTATGTGTCTTTTGAAGGTTTTTTAAAGCCAGAAAATATTATTAAATTGTAAGAATATTTTGGAGATAATAAGGATTTATTAATGCAGGCCCTACTAATTAACCCATAGCTGGGGTGGAGAAGGGGTGGATCCATACCTTCCTCAATGGTATTTGCGCACAATTCAATATAACGAACTCGACTGGAATTGGAACTCGACTCTCCGATTTCCAATTTCGAGCAGTTATCAATCGAAGCTTACAACACCTGGCCTTTCCAAGTGATCACCCATCTAGTTACTGACCAGTTTCGTCGTTGCTTAAACCTTGTTTCAACGTGATAGGGCCGTAAACCAGCAGTAACTCCGAGGTTGTTAAATTGTTAAGTTGTTAAGTTGCTGTGCTATAACAATATTGAAATATTATCAGCATATAATTTGCATAAAACCATAAATGGATAGCGGCTAGAATTGAGGAAGTGGAGAGCCGAGGTCGAATTCCAGTTGAATCCATTACGCACTAATACCTTTGGGAAAGGTATGAATCCTCTTTTACACCCCACGCCCAGCTATGGAGAAATAGCAGGAGAAATCGGGTTCTATGGTCTTGGATAGCAACTGGTTTGCCGTAGAAAGAAATGACAACCTACTGTGGGAAAAAAATCTGCCTCGTCAGTCATGTATCGAAAGATAAATGATCGCCTAAGTGTGTATCCCGCATGGCACCTAACTGGCACCTAACTGACTGACTGACCTTTTTATTAGCAACGCAGTACCAGGAAGTAGACAATTTGGCAGTTTAACAACATTTGGCAAAGATCCCAACGATACTCGTTCCCTCATCTCTCAGCAAATAGAATTTTAAGGAATATGTATTAATTTAGTAGTTATTCCCTTAATTGAAATTCAGCTCTTTGAGCTGATAGTCTCTCCTCTTTCGTGATTAATGGAAAATGAGACCAATTGAAAATCACGGCTTTAAACAAATAACAGATGACTGAACCTGCTTTGTGTTTGTTCTTCTATACATGCCAGTGGCACCAGTGGTACCAGTGGCTGGTATTTGAGCCCAGGCAAAAAAGATTTCGAATGCTGACTTTCAAGGCAAATAGGCCTAAATCGTTTGGAAGGTTGGCGTAACAAAATGTTCTTACTGTATTGATGTTATTCCATATTAAGCGAAGTTAGATATCAATGGTATAACTAGATTTGTATTGACGTCGTTAAGTGAGGAATTATCGTATTCATGTTTTAGATCAAGACGTTAATTCTGGTTGCTTAAGATTGCTTCAGAGACGAAGATAAGAAACACTAATTTCAATTAAGTATAAATTATTTCCAGCAGAGGTGCAGACTGCGAAATAGATTACAGCGTGAGATCTGGAAAAAGGAGTTAAAATATTAACAGATCGCGGCATCTATAAAAGAGATGAAATTTAAATTTTTATTATTGCATTATTCTAAAATTTTAATACATCAGCAGATAGTTGGTTTGGTTTGTTTTGCGTCATATCAACCTCAATGTACAGTGTAAGAGACCCGGATATAAGAGAAACCCGGATATAAGAGAGATTTTCTCTGGTCCCAAATTAGAACTTGTGTTAATGTATATAAAATAGACCAAACCCGGATATAAGAGACTTCTTCTCCGGTCCCGACAACTCTCTTATATCCGGGTTACACTATTATTTTAATGCCGATAAAATTTTTATTGTTGGTAATATTTTTTTCAAAAAATGTATTGCTGGTAATAATTTTTTTACAAACTATTTCTGGTATTAAAACATATTTTTTACACTTTCATAGTGTTTTGACCCCAGTTTGGGGGTTAACTATTTGCACATAGCTGTGACCCTAACAGGTGCTACCATCCCGGGTCAGGGTGGACCTGGGAAAACCAGCAATTAAGAGATGGTTTCACGCGCCTCAAAACCTCCTGATCAGAGGCCTGGCCATTGGACGTAGTTTACAGTTCGCGGATTTAAGCAGATAGCTATAAACGTCAACAACATTGCACAAATAGTTATTAATTAAAAAAATAGTAATTAATGTATAATATTTTCCATAACTACATGTACAAGAATGATTTTTTGATTAAAGTTAAAAACTAACTATATATACGTAAACAATGCGTATATTGTCGAAAATTTCTTTTTCTACAATATAACTATTTGTCATATGTTATAGTGCTTATTACATTAAAATATATTTAATCACATCTCCCTGATATCTGTCGCGATCAGTAAGCATAAGTTTCCTTTTTGTTTACATTATCTCTAAAGCTTCGTCATTGCTCACATGTTCATTCCATTTTGATTCTCATCATCCTCCTGTAGACCCACATTCCTATTGCCTCAAGTCTTTTCTTAATCTGTGATGTTATTTATGAGTATTATATACAAATAAATATTTAACCCATTAATGCGCTTCTTTTTTTTTGTCTTTTCTGCTTCTTCTTCTTCAACGGCTTCAAGACGTTAGCAAACATGGGTCTCCACAATTTCCTGTGCTTTGTATTTCTTAGTAAATTTTGTCTGCCAGCCATTTACTCAAACTCATAAAAAAATGCGTATATTGTCGAAAATTACTTTTTCTACATTATAGCTATTTGTGCTATGTTATAATCTTTATTACCTAAACAATAATAATACTGAATAGATTTTTTAAAAACATTAAAGTATATTTAATCACATTTCCCTAATAGCTGTCGCGATCTGTAAATATTTTAAAGGTTGCTAAATATGTTTTCCAGTGAAATTAATAATATTTAAATCTAAATGTTCATGTTATTTATTTTTGTGTTTCAGATGAGTTCTCTTCATGTGATTTTTGTCTTTAAATTGTTCTGAAATTCATTCTTGCTTTTTCTGACGACGTTTTAAAAAAAATATGTTCTAAAATTCTAATCATACTTTAAAAATATTGTTTGTATTCAACCCCCTGACAAAAAAATAAATACGCAAATAAATAAACCGAAAACATTTTTAAATTTAGAACAAGGAAAATTTAATTTATTAAAATTCAGCACTAACAAATGTTGTAATTTGGCTACGTGAGAAGGAAAGACGAGTTCTCTCCCTTTTTTAATCTGTTGGTACAAAAACGTAGCGAAAATAGAACAGAAACCAAACCGAATATATTTAATTTCCAATTTTACTTACTTAATATTAATTATTTCATAAATATGAAAAAGAGTCAGATGTGCTCCAAAAGAGCTAAATTGGCAATTCTTTCTAAAAAAAAATAAAAAAAATGTAACATTAATAGCCAAAAATTATAATCAAAAGATCTAAAAGTGCTTTTTTGGTTGCTTCTAACAGAAATAGATTTCTTTACTGATATCAAAAGTGAGATATTCTTACATACAGATGACAGTTGAAATAACATTATTTCTCTATGTATAACATTATTTCTCTATCTATGGATGTCCAAACAGACCTAATGGTTGGTCAAACAGAAATAAGGTGTAAAAATCCGTCACCACTGAACCAGTTAAGGGACTTCATGGCAGTAACACTGACATATTGCGAATGTCAAAAGAAAATGATTTGGTCATTGTATCTATCTGTCCGCACGCGCACGCGCACACACACACACTACACACACACACACTACACACTACACACGCACACACACTACACACATACTACACACACCCACACAAAATAGTGCCGCCTGAACCATAGCTACGAGTAGTCATTAGGATTTGTTTCATTTGCTTATTTTCTGTCCCGTGTGGTAAGCTTCTTTTATGCTTATAGTATTCTTTCCTCCTAATTTGAATCATTTACCCTCCCAACGGGGAATGAAGGGTGGAGAAATCACGGAATTAAAAATATAAAAGATAAAGATCAATGAACTACAACTGACTTCTGACCGTAATTTCTTTCTTTTCGACCGGCTCAAATGTAAAGCAATTGATCTTTCGTTTAACACAGGCCATTCTAACCAGATTTCAACTTCGATTACCGACCAATCCAATGGTACTTTTGTTTCATCGTTCTTGTTCAAGACTAAATAAATAACTCAGCCAATAAAGGATTAAAAACAGGACAAACAGTGCGTTCTTATTTCAAAGAAAATCGATCCAAGTGTTACTGAGTCGAAAGGAACATCTTTTGCTTTGCATTGATTTTCTTTTTTTTATTTTTGTGCTTATCACCTTTTTATAGTTTCGTTCTTTTTCTTGAATGGAGACTATAAAAACGAATGTGTGTCAAAACACTAAAAAAATGTTCTTTGTTCTCATATACTGATACGGAACAAAACATTTAGTGGTCAGATCGATTAATATCCAAGATGGAGGATCGCTGTGTGGTTGGCAAGAGGGTTAAATTTGGAAGTAGTTAGCGGATTTCCAGAATTTGTGAATTTTACAATTTTTTTTAATTACTAGAATTCTTCAAGTACTAACATGTAGATTCACTCACGGTAGTGAGAGAGAGAGGGAGAAAGAGAGAAGGGAGGGAAATAGGAAAAGAACCGAAAAGAAAAAGTGATAGAAACTGAGAGAAAAGGCGAAAGAGAGAGAGTCAGTGAGAGAAATAGGGAGAAGGAAAACAAAAGAAACAAAGAAAGAAACTGAAAGAAAAAGAGAGGATGGAAAATAACAAAGAAAGCAAGGAAATGAGAGAAATGGGGAAGGAGCTTAGAAATTAAAGGGGATAGAAATTGAAAGAGAGAAATAGGGAAAGGAAAGAACTGAGAATGAAAAAGGTTTGAGAAATTAAATATAGAAAGAAACAAACTGAAGAAGAGAGGGAGAAAGAGAGGTGGGGAGAGAGAGAAGGAGAAAGAAACAGTGAATGGAAGGCGAAAAGGGAAATAAAAAGAAATAAACTGAATTGTTTGTTTAGCAGTATACTTCTCATGGGTCATTTAATATCGAAATTTAATTTTATTTACAGAAAATGTATTGCTGGTAATTTTTTACCATGAAAATGTATTGCTGCTATTTTTAGTATCAAATTCTTTATATTTTCATAGTATTTTGACCACAGTTTGGGGCTTAACTATTTCCCCATAGCTGGGACCCCAACAGGTATTACCACCCAGATTCAGAGTAAACAGCAACAGCAATTTAGAGGTGGTTCCACGCTCCTCAAAACCTCCAAGCTCCTGATCAGAGGCCTTGCTGCCGGATGTAGTTTATTGTCATACCAAGGACGGAAAGAAACGGAAAAAAAAACAACCACAAAGAAACAGAAAGAAAAAGAGGGAAAGAGAGAAATAGGGAAAGTATGGGACTGAGAATAAAAAAAAAGTCTTGGGAACTTAAATATAGATAGAGACATACAGAGGAAGGGAAAGAGATAGAGAAAGAGAAGGTGAGACAATGATAAGTAGTACTAAATACTAAGCAAAAGGAAGAGGGTTACTGTAAAAATGGTAATTTTTAATGAGTTAAGTGAAATGAATGAAAGACGAAGTGGTAGGAAGTATAGATTATGAGGATAAGGGATCGATAATGCTTGATCCTTGATTTGAAAAGCTCTATTGTAATGCAGTTCTTGGGAATAAATCTATCGGAGTTGAATCGACCGTCTTATACGTGGAACAGGAAACGAGGCTGATTCGACTTAGTGAAAGTAGCATGGACTGAGTGCTCTAGTAGTAAAGGTCTGAACTGGTGTAACTAGAGTTTATCTGCATATTTGCCATAGAAATAGTGATACAGTAGCAATAGGCTTGAAACGGTGCGTCTGTGGGCAATAAGAGGGTTTCGATTCTATGGATGTAGCTGGGCAGGTCCCAGCTGTAAAGGTCTGAACTTGAAGAACTAAAAAAATGTAAAGGTAGACCAGAGATAGGATTACGACATTGCTTCTGTTTGAAAGAAGCAGCAGATTGGTAAATTAGCCACCACCACCGCTACAAAACGGCAAAAACACAAGTGAGAATTAAAGCAAAATCACCCTAAGTATGATGGTTTTCTATGTGTAGCTTACATGCGGAAAAAGGCTGAAAGTATAGGGTACCCAGTGAGGATCGAATTCACAGCTATGACAACAATATCTTTTGTCTAATCGAACTCTTTTAAAGATAAAGAATGACAAAAAGATTCCGTCAGGTAATTCCTGGAACGATAGAAAGGGCCGTTTATTTTCCTATCAACTTTAACCATGGATTACCCTTGAGTTGAACCAACTCAAAATAACATTGAAAACCACAGGACTTGTACCTAAATCGTTTGAAACACAAGTCCAAGACCGTACCAACTGGCGGTGTTCCATCACCATCGGAACCCAACAACTTGGAAGCCACCAGTAGAGAAAAGAAAGAAGTCAAACGAGAAAATCATCCTCCGCCAACATTACCATGTAGTCAATGGCATCGGTACTTCCATACAAGAATTGTTCCACTTAGTCATCAACGCCATCATCATAAAGGAAGCGATCAGTAAAGAAGAAACTGACTTCCTGGATATGAGATAAAGCCTACAGCATCCCTTTTGATCTGTAAAATATTTGATACCTACTCAAAGTTTTAAATTATCTGAGGAAGCAGTACCGATCTCAGCTCGCTGAATATCTAACCCTGTTGTTTTAGCGATCTGATTATTATTATTATTTATAATAATAATAATAATAAAAATATGTGCACGTTCTGTCTATAAGACCTGGTCTCAGATAGCAGCATGGTTAAGAGATAACTCCTTTATATTATCGTTCTGGAAAGACTATCCCAGCGTGCGGTTCCTGAAAACCATACCACAGTTTGACTCAAGCCTTATGAGTGAAGTTCTGTACACAAAACTATTCGAAAACTGTTGATGGTTGTGCTAGCGAATATTTAAATGCTGTCACGTTGACAACGGACTTTATCATTGTAAAAATTTCAAAGACTTTTGGCCTCTATGATTAGCGTGTTTCTTCTTGAGAATATAAATATGATATCTGATGATAATTCAATAGATTTATTCAAGCCTAACTAGCGCTGTGTCCGCGAAACTTTGAAGTCGGTAGTAAGATAATTCATTTGAATTTTTATTAATTTCTTGGCTATTTTATTGGATATAAAATGAACTAATTATTCCTTCGTCCTTTCGCGTTCGCCCGTACAGCAGTTTTTTCTTTTTTAATATCATATTCCCCCAGAACGTTAGCGACCATCTCCGCCTATTCCTTTTCTTTATTACTTGTTATTCTGAATTGCCATAACGTTTTATGAAATACAGTGGAGTTATTTCTTCTTTGTTTTCTTCACGGTTTTTGCATTCAGGGTAACTTTTCTACAAGACTGGTGGTCAGTCAAGGCTAGAGATACCAGTCTACCATGCGATATAGCCCACAGCCTTGTAATGGAAAGAAAAGTCGAATTCATGACTTTCTCTAGGGGCATTAATGAATACCACTCCGATTTTCAAACCAAACATCCGGCGTGAAGTGGTCAGTTGTACAGGGACCCAACGACTAAGGAGGGGATGATGATGATGATGACAGACGAGGCCGAAGTTTCAACTCTATTCGCCGTTTCCACTTTCTGCGCTGATAACAGTTTGGCTACCCACACATTCCGTAGTTTTCATATACTGTCTCTATAAATCTTTAGATGAACTTTAAAGTCTTGGGAGTTAATTTTCTGTTAATGCCATGTCACTTCAGGATCATAGCTCTTCTCGACTTCTTATAGACGAAGGATTTCTCATAATGGCATGACATTAGTGGCAATAGTGTCTTCATCTAGCTAATGTCTTACTATTATGTGGGGGGTATATGTGGGAGGTATTTCTGCCGCACGCTGTATATTGTCTTCGTTGTTCATTCTTGTTTATATAGGATAAATATTAATGAACTCCCCTCAAAAAGCTCTTATTTAAAAAAAAATAATCGAATAAAAATGCCAATACTAAAAACGTTTATCGCGTGTGTCTTCGATCATATAAAACCTGTTAGTCTTAACAAGGATCATCCGTCTTCGAACTTCATGGACTGTCGCCACTGTATCACTAAGAAAGAACTTTACCAAATAACAGAAATCACATCATTTGCGGCTTTCAGCAGCAGGAATTAAAATGGATAGTTCAGGTAACTCGAAGAGAAAATGATATAATCTAGATCTTAACATTCTACACTACTTTAAATAAAAGGTTCGAAATGAAACTCCTGTCAATACTGGAAAGAGCGATAACAGCTCTTGGACTTGGGAAACCTATTTCCTAAAAGATTGTTTTAAGAGAAAATTTGTATAAATTTAAGCCGAATATAGTACCGTCTGGACGGTCAATTGATACCGAATGTTTCCTTATAAGGAAACGGCTAATATTACAATTACCATGTCGATGGAAATGTATAAGTTATTTACAGCGGTAACTATTTAACACTAGGCACTTGATTACTAATGTATTAAACCAATTTGAAAGGCGTATCTCAAAAACTGAAAAGAAAGAAAGCAAAATCATTCCATTAGTACTACGGTTACATTCGCACTCTTAAACATATAAAATGGTTCTTAATTCACACAAATATTATGACTAAAATCAGGAGCCGCTTGTAGTTACTTGAGAGTTGTATTCAAAGCACTAATTGATTAATCATGAAAATTTGACTTGAAACTTCCAATAATAGAAAAAATTATTTTTTGGGGTATTCAAAAACCCCACAGTACTGGCATAAGGTTAATTATTTTGGGGCGTATTCAAAAAACCCCAATGTACTGGCATAAGGTTAATTATTTTGTTGGGGTATTCAAAAACCCTACAGTACTGGCATAAGGTTAACTATAACTGTGACATCCTCCTTTTTTTCTGAATAACGATATTTTTATTATCTTATAATTCTGCTTATCCCTCCCTTTCTTACGTAGTTATCATGTACGTACGTTACAACCTGTCAATAACTCATAAATAGTGGACTGTTCCGTTTTGATAGCGAGGTAAGACAGAAAAGACATATCAGAAACGCTATCCGGTTTCAGTGAGAAGAAAGAAAGAAAGAAAGAAGGAAAGAAATGCCCTGCCAATACCCCATTAATAATAGACTGTTCTATTTTGATCGCGAGGAAAGACGGAAAAGAGATATCAGAAACGCTACTTGGTTTCAGTAAGAAAAAGAAAGAAAGAAAGAAGGGAAGAAAAGAAAAACAGTAAAAAAGAAATGCCCCCCCCCAATACCCCATAAATAATGGACAGTGCTGTTTTGATCGATGTGTAATTATGATTTTAAGATTTGGAGGTTAATAAATTTATTTAGTATATACATATACATTTTAGCGGAGAACGCGATTAGCTTTCATGTAGCAATTCTAATATAGGTGTAATGGGTGTCACCTGCTTAAAGGTAACTGGGAGGACAACACTATGACGTATTCGCGTTGGAATTAAATTCCTTTTGCCATGGAACTTCAAGCTTCCAGTGGCCTTGGTTGCTATTGAAACGCAAAGAGCACTTTAGTTTCGAATCACGATCTCATTTCCTGCACGGCAGGGAAAGTTCCGGGCTGCATCGGTTCTATCGGTTCGAGGGAAAACAGATACTGCCCTTTGATCCCTAAATATGCACTGCCGCGTGCGCACACACGAGCACACACACGTCATTTTACACACAGTCATTTTACGCGTCGCTAGTAGGCCTGTGTGTGTTAAAAGGGCGTGATATTCCTTCGTTCTGAAACGCATACGCGTGCGTGCGTGATGTGTGAGCGCGCATATGCGCACACAGGCACACGGACACGAATGTAAATACAGACATTCTTTTTTTTTTTTTTTTTCTATTGACCCCACCGCCCTTTTCTGATAGCAGT